GACGACGACGACTGTGGGCTCCTTGGTGCTCTCTGAGCTGGCTTGTTTTCTTGCAGACATTTCATGACCCAAACTAGGTAACGTCATCAGCGATGTTACCTAGTTACCTACGAGCACTGATGACGTTCCCTAGTTTGGGTCATGAAACGTCTGCAAGAAAACAAGGAAGCTGTGAGCGTTAACGTTTCAAACATTAGCTTTGGCATGCTCCTCTCCTTTAATTCTGTACCTGACTCTTACGCCTGGCAGAAAAATTTGAATAAAAAGACTGCCGGTTGCGAAGCGGTCATTAGCCACCAGAAGCTCTTTTTATTGCTTTGACAGGTTTTTTTTTTTTTTTTTTAGTGTTCGGTCTTGTTTTGATTCTCGTGGTGAAATCTGTACAGTTGGACGCTTTAGTTGTTTTTCCAAAGGTCTTTTTGATTAGAGCAGGAATGAAGTGTGCTTGATAAATGAATGAATAGTTTTTTCTGTCGTGGGTGCTAACTTTGTTCTGTTGTGCTCTAAATGGGGGGGGGGGAAACAGCTCCCTGCCCTTCTTTTTTTTTTTTTAATTGAAAAGTTTTATAAAAATTACAATATAAACCCCTAAACCCACCCACCCTAATCCCCCCCTCTCCCTCCCCAACTTCCCAGAGCTAAATACAGGGTTACAAATATAATAATCATAATCTAACTAACATTAACCAACTATATAAATAACCAAGTCCATAATGCGCTTTAACTCCCCTTTAACATAAATATAATAATAATTAAAACATAAAACAAATGGGAAAAAAGAGAAAAACGGCTGCATTTGTCTGATCGAGTCATTTCGGATCATGTGCTGTGGGCGGGGTGTGTGTGCGTGTGCGTTTGTGCCTCAATTGCCTGGAGGAGTGGATGATGAGATCAGTAGTACCACTCTGACACAGCTCATAGGCCAGGAGTGTCAAACTCAATTTCATTGAGGGCCGCATCAGCATTGCGGTTGCCCTCAGGGTGTGTGTGTGTGTGTGTGTGTGTGTGTGTGTGTGGCCAGAGTGGGTGTGGCCTACTGGGTGGGCGTGGCTGGAGTGGGTGTGGGCTACTGGGTGGGCATGGCCAGCTCTACATCGTTCGTGTCAAGGGTGACTGTGGGGGCCTGGGCAGGAGTGGGACAGATCTGAGGGTCTCTGGCAGAAGGGGGTGGGACCAGGGCAGGCGCCAAGGCATGGTCCATTTCTTCATTCCTCACAAAGGGGGACCCCTCCCCAGCATGCACCCAGGGGGCGGGGGCGACACGGCAGGGGCTGGTTCCTCGCTGTTTCTGGACGGCCTTGTGGAGCTAAGACTGAATGCATTTCAGCATAGATGGCCACCACAAAATTGTACATTGGCTCCCGACCGGCCTGGGCCAGGGCCAAGGCAGCGGGGGCCGTTGCCTCACTGTTTCCAGGATGGCTTCGCGGGCCACATGAAACCACGTCGCGGGCCGTATCGAGTCCCCGGGCCTTGTGTTTGACACGTCTGTCACAGGCAGTCCTTCCTCCTGGTATCTGTGGGTGAATCATTCCGTTCACAAACTTATTTCCTGGCTCATGTTGACATGAAACCAAGTGTAAAACACTGCTGCTTGGCTACTGTGTTTTCCTTACCCCCCCTCCATTTTAATGAGATTTTTCTACCTTCCCCCCCCCTGAAGACTGCAGGGCAGAATTATCCATCAAATTTGACAACTGTGTCATCCACACCTCTTGTCCTCCCGGCCTTCCCCATCGGCCACTTTTCCTAACGCTTTTACGGTAACTGAAATGGCAGATGTTGCCAGAGCACTCCGCCGTGCCTATTTATTTATTCACGTAAAATTTAAGGTGCTCTCTTTTGGGAAAATCGATATGTGGTTTTGTTGTTGTTTTTAAAGTTCAGGATCATCTGGAAAAAAAAAATTCCAACAGCCGAGTTCAAGTTCAAAGCCAGAGTTTTCAATCCAACAGCATCCGTCTTCCGGATACTGGGATGGACGGCCGAAAAAAAGGGAGACTTATCCGTGCTTCAACATAGTAAAATGCTCAAAGGACTCATTCTTTCTTTCTTTCTTTTTTTTGAAGGGGGGGGTGTGTGTGTGGAGAAATGAAAAAGATAGAGACAATATTGCAGGCCAAGATTTGTTTTCCTAGCAGTAAATCTACAATAAGCATGCACAGTGCTCAAGGGAGCAATTTAGCTAACTCAGGAAGTTGAGCTCACGTCTCTGCGGGAGGATTGACAATAGAGTTGTGGTTGAGCGCGGGAATGGGATGCCCAGATGAGCATCCCTGCAGAGATTCTGATAGGAGGAGAGCAAGAATCCCGATAGGACGGAACCCACAGCCAGCCAATCAGATAAGAGGATGGCAATTCGTGAAGTATTAATACCACTTTACAAGGCCTTGGTAAGGCCACACTTGGAATAAGCATCCAGTTTTGGTCACCACGATGTAAAGAAGATGCTGAGACTCTAAAGAGTGCAGAGAAGAGCAA